TTGCCAAAGTTACGCGATCACTTACCATCCTTATGCCGATCTGCTAACTTTTGATATCTTAAAGTCATTAACGTGTTATCTGACAACTCAGCATCTGATTCAGACCCTCCTGCATCATATTCTTATTCCTACTATTACTAGTGTCGCATTGTTTGTATTCTATCAAGGTTTTGCCTAACATTAAAACTTTTAATTCCGAATTAATCTTCCATAGTTTGGACTTACATTTTAACTCCTATTTAAGTTTTATTAGCTACAGCCACGTTTCATAGAATAAGGCATTAGGTGGAATGAATGAGAATTTAGACAACTCCGTTTTATCCACTATGGTTTTGGCAATTGATTGACTAGCTGGTATTTGTTGTTTTAATAATGGAAGATTTTTCTGTTCTTTTTCTCATTTGCTTTGGCTAGGCAAGTATTTTTGAAAAGGAAGTCTGGAAAGATGTCATAGATCTAATCACTAATGCTAGGCAGGTTGTGTCATCTGTACAAGACGTGGCTCGAAAACTTGCTGAATACGCCAAATTCAGAGGCCGGACAAAACATTCTGGTATGTTCTGTTTCCAGATTGTTGGGATCTCTAATAACTATAATGAAAATCTAGCTTCGTATCTGGATTCTTAAACCATAATAGTGGTGATCAAGTGCCCTTTTTTAATGCCATTTACATGAAATTATTGGTATTGTTTTGCTCTTGTTTTGTNNTGGTATTGTTTTGCTCTTGTTTTGTTCCTTACGTTTTTCTTTTATCCAGCAACTGTAAACAATGATAGTTTGTATAGAGTTAACTGATAGACTTGCCCAAACTAAAATGGAAAAACAAAGGATGAATCATTGACAACTTAAAACTGCATTTAGAGTTTTCTTGATGGGCGCTGGGCAAACTTATTCATGAGAAGAAATAATTATGTATTTCTGGATAAGTTATGTACCAAAGGACGGTATAATAAAAGTTTCTTATTCTCTTGGTCTCCTTTTTTTGTTCCTTCTTATGCACACAAGTTGTGATAGGAAGGCTTTTATTCTGCTAGGACTTATGAGAACTTTGAAACTGAATTGAATATGTAACATGAAAAGAACAAATGAAAGGTTTGGATCAAGTCTACTATTAAATAAAATGTTTGATACTTTGACTTCAATTTTCCCAAAGGAAAATGTCATAATTAACATAAACAGCCACTTGCCCTTTTCAAGCCTCTCTCTTCGGTTCTTCTAATGATTTTTCTAAAATTCCGATTTTATCCTATCTTTTCACTATAATATCAATCGAACTTCAATAACTGTGACTTTATCCATTTACCATACCATGTTGGTAAAACTCACCTACCTATTTTTCTTATCAATCCTCAACCTTCAGAAATAAACAAATTGATCCAAACCTTTTGTTGTTCAGTCTCCAATTGTGAAAACCCTTCCAATCTTCATTAAATTGTCAACATGTAAACATGCCTCACTTCAAACACAAACCATCCAAGATATATACCTTCATACAGGTCGACAAAGATTGGACAGTGTTTGTCGTTGGAGACTAATTGTGAAACTATAAAATAAGAAGACCCTTTTAATAGGTTGGGAACCAACTTGCAACGTGACAACAAGTTGGTTACCAGAAGTGCAATTTTATAATTAGTTGATGATTAGACTAACATTATAACCAGTAGCATCAGGTTGCACTTGCATGTGTTCAATTACCCTACTTCCACAGAGCACAGAATGGATTTAACCAACGTATGATACCACACTCATAAATCTCCAGTAGATATGCAATACCCTCAACCGAACTCAATACTGGATTCTCCTTCAAAACAGCAATGAAGTTTTACAGGATGCAAATCAACCACATTTCCACCATCTGCTACTCTTACCTGCTGTGAAATGGTATGTGCCTCAACTCTTCTTATTTTAATTCCTTGGATTGTTTATACGTCAACTGGGAAAATTTAGCATGCACCTAAACCTTACAGAAGTCGAATATAAAATGAGGGAACATCGCTAATTACCTGATTTATTTATGAGCATATGTAAAAGTCAAACATGATATCTAGCACAACTGTTATTTAATTAACATCACTTAGCATTTGAAGAATCTTAAAACTTAGACAAAAAAACTTTTTAGAAGTATTGAACAAGAATGCTTGGAGTGTTTAGTCAGTCAGACCTTTATATCCTACTCATTTACCTTAAAACTGGTCAGTTCACAATCAAAATTTTGTTTCTATTTATTTGTTATATTTTTTTTACTATCAAGTGTTTCAAATTGGTATCATAACGTGCAAGGATCTCGCTGTTGGGAAATTATTTAATTTTTCGTGATGGGCCTACATATGTAATTAACTGTGTATA